AGCTGCTGGGTACGGAGATGTGACTCCACCGGCTTTAACGGGAAGATCTGACTCTGGTCTGTCTTCTCTGTTGTTTGGGAGAGGGTCCAGCAGAGGTGAAACAAAGAGAAGTTTCTATTTTTAGAAACATTTGTTTTCAGGATAATTTTTCAAAGAGGTGACTGACAGGGCTTCATGTGTTCCAGAGACTGAACATACCAGTCGCAGTGTGGGTCACTCTGGCAGCTATCCGACCCTCGAGAAGTGAACAGAACACTTCAGGGGGAATGATCCTTTTTGTAGCTCCTGTCCCAGTCTGCCATAAGAAACCATCCTGGTACAGCAGCACAGAGATGCTGGGGATATCCAGCGCCAAAAGCTCCCAGCCAGGACCTGGCGCCTGTTTTGACTTAGTGCGTTGCTGCTGCAGTTTGTGCTGCAGCATCCAAGGGATGCTCTGGATGCATTGCCCACCTTTTGGCCAGCGGTGACACAGGACAGAGGAACGCTGTCACCTGCTGCACCCCACGGCTGCAGCAGGTCCACCCTTGGGTGAATGTCAAACACTCATTTCTTCCCCTCTGGTTTCAGACCTTTCTTTGTCTCCCTGCAGAGGGGAGGCAGGTCCCACATGCCTGAATTTTCCTGAGAAGCTTCAGAGTGATGTAAATACCCTGTCTCAGACAGCAGCTTGGGTGCCAGTCCTAGGAGCCTGGCTCCATCAGCCAGGGTAGCACAGGCTTGCCGTGGGGAGCCACGGCTCAGCCACTGCACGCCTTCCCCTCCTCTGGGGACCCGGGGGGGACTCTGTGTCCTGCTGGAGACAGGATCACAAGAGACCTTGTGACAGCAGGGGAACCATCGCACTTAGGAGAGAGGTGCGAGTCTTGTGCCTGAGTCACACAAGATTTCGATCTGCTCCCCAGGTACTAGTGGGCTTTGGACCAGGCCAGCAGCACCTGTAATCAGGGTGAGCCATCCTTGCTGTGTGACATTCCTGTGCCAGGTGTCAGTTGCCACCGCACAGACGTGGCCTCACAGACCCAAAGGAGATGACTGCAGAAAGGAGTGTGGGTAAAAGAGCTCCACACCCAGAGCCTCATGCAGTGGTAATAAAAATGCCTGTATTTTCACTCAGTCTCAGTGCCAACAAGACCAGGCATAGAGCAGCAACTAGCAGAGCTGTGTTCCCGCCGTGAAGCCGCTCTGCAGTTGAATCTGGTCACGGGCTGTTGGAGGTGCCCTCCTGCTCTGTAGCAGGGACCAGTCCGCACCAGTACCTGCTCCCCCTCGGTGGAGGATGGTGCAGAGGGAGCTTGTGCCACTCATGCTGGAGCTGCAGTCGGTGCAGAGCAGAAGGGAGGCTCACCCCTAGCTGGTGCTGCTCCCAAATTTGCATTATGGGTGTCAGCAAAACACCCTTCTCTTCAAGACACGCAGCTACTCCCCAGGGCATTCAGATGACTGGCCCTGTGCCTCTGAGCAGCAGGCAGCAATTCAGTCTACTGCCAGGAAACATGGTGGCCAAAAGCTGCCTTGCTGTGTCACAGAGCCCGAGTTAAGCTGTCCCTACAGGGTCTCGCTGCTACCCAGCTCTGGGACTGAAGCTGGCATGTCCCTGTCTGGTTTGGAGCATGGGCACGGTGAGCTCAGGGCTGCCCACAAGATCCTGCAGAGCCATTTCTGTGGCTGCCCACGTGTTGGCTGAAGTGTCTAACACAGACACCTGCTTTTGCAAAACACGGCTTCTGCTCCCCTGAGCTGTGCTGAGCTGCTGTTCATTGATGCTAAAATTAGCTGAAGGTCCATCAATAAAGGAGCCCTTGAAAGAGCTCGCTCTCAAGAGCATCAAAAGGGGACAGCCTGCACCCTTTTCATCTGCTTGCTCTGCTCCTCAGATGATAAAGTGGGACCTACATGGCGTGACTGCTGCTCCGGAAGAGATGTAGAGCAGGGCCTTGCACATCAAGGGGCTGATTGATTTGTTAGTGATATTTCCAGTACTGTGGTGACAATAACACGTGATGAGCCTTTCCCCTTATCTGGCACTTTCCACCCTGCGCTTTTCACAAACGCTAATGAACAGAGCTCGTGATGATCTTTGGAGGAGGAGAGAGAAAAAATTCAGGCATAATCACACAGCATCTCTCAGCCCATTTTTTTTTTTTTATCTCAACAAGAATCAGCTTTTGAATGACATGAAAAGCGGCTCCATTGAGTAGAGAAGATGTTCAGGCCTGCAGGTGACTGTTGGAAGGAACAAGACACAAGTGGATCCTACTCCTGGGAGGGCATGCTCATGAAGGGGCTGGTGCCCCAGGTTTCCAGCCACAGTTTGTCTGGAATCAGGTCCTCTGGCCCGAGTCCAAATCCTGGGATACTTTGCCCGGTAGCGTCCCAGTGCCACTGCCCTTGTGCATGGCTTGTGGGAGATGAGCCAGCACTCAGCATCCGTCAGACCTAGTCTCTTGCGAATCTCCCCCAGGATTTAGAAATCAGAAGGATGACCTAGGAGATATCATGTTTAAAAATCACAGAGACATTTACAGACAAGTCCCTGGAGGGATGGGGCTCCTTTCCACTGCCCTGTGCTCTCCAGGCTCTCTGGGGTGCTCTCAAACTTGTTTTTCTTTCCAATCTTGGGAGGAAGTAACTTGCTTTAAAAAAAATGGAAGGAACTGTAATGCCCTGACTCCACAGGACTAACTCCATGACCCCTGAGGAGGTGCCGATAAAAGCCACTGCATGATGTGCTGTTAGTGATAAAATCACTGGACTCAGCAGTCCTTGATTGGGTTCCTCATCTGCAATCTGCTTGCTCGAGTGCTGATCCTCATCCAGAGGCAGCCTCTAAGTGTTTTAAGATTCAGGAGGTGGGAGGCAGAGGGAGCATGCCTGCTGCGAAGGGGCCTGGGGGACAGGGGGACACAGCCTCTGCTCACAGCTCTGTGTCATTTCTCCCCCAAAGTGTAAAGAGATCCAGAGCACCCCAAGAAGAGGGTGATAGGGAGCCCACTGGGACAAACTGTGCTAAGCTGGCTCCTGCCACCGGAGAGCAGCGGTATCCACCCAGGACAGCCAAAGCCTGCACTGGACAGACAGGACTGAGCTGGCCACATCCTGCACTTCAGGCTGTTGCTCTGCTGCTGCAGCAGACACTCTGCACCACCTGCTTTCGTTCCTCTTATCCTCCCCGGCATCCTAAACCACAGCACATGGCATGTATAAAACCCATGTTCCCTAAAATGGTTCAAGAAATTATACTAAGGGGAAGATTTACTGCCAGGTATATCAGCCGTCATCCACAAGCTGAATTATTTTGCGTTAGAGGAGACTCACCTCAGTGATTTGAACATGACTGATTTAAGCAGTCTCACAGAAGAAATGTGCCTTGGATGCCAAATACCAGTACTCTGCACTAGCAGGGTAATTAATTCAAAAGCACCGGAGAAACTGCTGCTGAAGACTTATCCATAGCACTTGACGTGCAGTGAATCAGCTGTGCTTTCATTTACATCTTTTTTGGCCCATGACTTCTTCAGAGTCTCTCACCTCACCTCCTAGTGCATCCGCTCAAGTACCCGAAGCAATTTCAAGTCTGACATCACTGGAAAGTTTGGACCTCAGCTTCACCCCCGTTCAGCAAATTGTCCCTAGTGATTGTGCCAAAGGAAAAGAGATGCAGTTCTTCCATCTACCTACAAACACTTCTGGAACTGCACAGCCTCTTGGTAAGGAACCTGCTTTTGGAAATCTTGTGGCCTTTCAGAGAGTTAAGGCAAGGTAAAACAAGGTGTCCCAAAGCAAATCAGATGGGCTCCATCAAGAAAGAAATTTTTAGGGATCTCATGTCTCTGAACTTTTTTGCCTGGGTGGATAGTCCGAGCTCTGCAGCAGAGCCAGGGCAATCCAAGCAGCCTGCAGGTGCTGCTGCTTGGCACTAATACGTTCACCAGAGAAACTCTGCAGGAAAGAGTCTTCCAGGGAACAAGTTCATTGGTAGAGCTTCAGCTGTGCACTAACGGCATTTCCTATGAATCATCAAAATTACTTGAAAATCCCCCTTTTCCTGCAGTACTTAAAAAAACCCTCTCTCCAAACAGCCAAGAATGTCCCAGACTGCAGAATTCCCCTCTAACTTCTTGAAAGGCTTGGAAATGGCACTGTTAGCTGCTCATGGACACCTTCTCCACGGACCCAGATACCTTTGGTTCAATTCAAGCACTGCAAGAAGGAGATTTGTCCCACTGTCCCAGCCCTGCTCCAGGCTCTGCCCAGCTGGCCAGAGCCGTGCCCCAGCTCCAAGGCCCCCCGTGTCCCTTCCCTGCCAGAGGACGAGCAAGGCACGACGCGATATCCATGCTGTCGCAGCTGTGGATGATGGGGTCTGTCTGGAGACATGATGTGGTCAAATGCAAGGGTTTGGCATAAGTGGGGAAGGCTCACCCCAGCCTTGCCTGTGTCTGCTGCCCTTCTCCTGCAGCAGTGCCCGAGATGAAATCCGAGGCTCCAGGTCAGACATGGCATGGCTGCTCATATCTTTTCTGATGCACTAAGGCATCGCCTGTGCTGGCTGTAACCCTGGACTACAAGGGATGACAACTTTCTGAGGGTTATGTGCGAACACTTAAAGCAGGCACCCTTGCCAAAAATAATGGTGCCTCTTGCCTTGTGCCAGCACTGGCATTGAAGCTTTGCGCTCAGAGCCAGCCTGGCAAATGCAGCCGGTGTCAGACTGCTCCAGAAAAACAGAGTTATTTTCAACCTGGACCAGTTCCCTGGGTTGGGTCCCCGCAGCCCCGTGCCTGGCCCTGCCAGCGCAGGGGAGGGAGGGGCAGGAGGGCAGTGGCGAGGGGCCTTAGCAGGGGTGGCCAGCAGCACCTCTTTGGTGCCTGTGGATGCCCTTGGCGTGGGTGGGTGTCAGGCAGGACATTGCCCAAGGAATGCAGAGGGACCGGATCCCTCCTGCCCCACTGCAATGTCCTGGTGAGCCCCACCTCACCCTGCTCTGCCAGAGGCACCTGCGGGGGAGCAGAGTTTGGCCAAATGGGTGGCAAAGCCACCCTATGAGGTGTCCTCGGGCACACAGACAGGACCATCTGAAGGTGAGCCACCTCACGTGGGGTCCCAGCACAAGCCTGGTTTGGTTCCTGCTGGCACAACCAGCTCATTTCCAGCCATTTTCCCAAATGCCGTAAGCTCTGCTAAAAATAGCTGGATGGAGTCTCAGCTAAGGTCAGCACAAAGCCGAAGCCCAGGGGCTCAGGAGGGAGGGCAAAGCCTCCTGTGTGAAGGGCATGCTGCTGGTGTAACAGTGTGGGCAGGGGGAGCACGAGGAGATGCTAGAGCAGAATGGGTGTCCCCAGACAAACAACCTGCTGTGTCTACGAATCTGCAACCCAGATCCAATTTAAAACACAAATCCCTCAGCCATGCCAGAAGCTCACTTGCCCCTCCTGCCAAAGAGCAAAGAAATACTGAGATGACTTTGGCTGCCCAGGGCTCAGTGAAACCCATTGGTGGTGTCTCGGTTTGTTCACCTGCACCTGGGTTTTACCCACTTACAGGGAAAATTGGGGCAAAACTGCCTTGGGTTCTCCATCTCTCTGAGACAATAAACATTTCAGAGAGCAGATCGGACCAGATCTGGACCTTGCTTTTTCTTGGCTACACTGGGTACACAGGGTGAACGTGCCCCTCTGGAGAGGAGCTGATGCTGGAGGGACGAGTCAAAAGACAGAAGATAGTAGTTTTATTTCTGAAGATCTTGGGCTTCTGCTGATCCCGCTCTTCTTTTTCCTTTGCATCAGCCCCAGCTTTGTTGAACCTTGCCATGAGACAATTTGATTCCCTAAACCATCAGAAAACTAGCCTGGCAAAACAAGGGAATCGTCTTCTGCCAGGCTAGGAGGTGCATCGGCTCGGTGAGGGGCCGGACTGCTGGAGCGGCTAGCCAGGAGTGAGCAGGACTCTGCCACTGGGCAGGGGCTGGGATCTGTCAGCTCAGCTCAGCTCAGCTGTGGCATGTAACTTTGCTCTTTGCGGTCCGTATTGCAGAAGCCCTCAGGATGTGCATCCCTGGTGCTCCTAGGTCCGACCTGCAGCAGCAGGAGGAAAGCTCTGGAAGATGGCAGCTCCACTCCAGAGAGACTCTGAAATTATAACTTGACCTGAACGTGAGCTGACTGCTCCAGAGCAGAGGTGCTGCATGCCCTTTGACTTTTTCAATCAAGACTTTGCTTAGCTTGCCATTTCACTGTTCCTCCCTCCCTTTAGAGCCTTTAGACAGGAGCCCGGGATATCCCTGCTGCCCAGGAGGATGAGCAGTTCCCTCCTGCTCCAACTTCACAGCAGCACATATTTGCTGACACGGTTACAACCATGCAAAGAGAATCAAGAGGATGCTGCTCCACCAGTACTGCATCAAACAGCTGGTTTATTACACCAAAACCACTCCTCTCCTTTGCTGGGATCAAATTAAGAGGTTTGGGGATGCTCAGTTGCAAAGCAGGCACGAAGAAAGGATGAGCAATGCTGGGATCAAGGAGGGCTGGTCACACTGGAGGCTTGGTCATGCAGCAGGACTTCTGGCCTATCTTCTGGAAAGAGAAGAGAGGGGATTTATTCCTTGCATTTTATCAAGTGATGCAGCTATAAACATGTTTTCATTGTCTCAGTGTCCCTGAAAGATGTGAAAAATAATAATGAACAGGAGCTAAAGAATAGCTTGCGGATGCTGTAGCTGTCCAGTTCACCCCATCCTCTTTGGTGGTGGTGGTGCCGAGGCTGGTGTTCTCCCTGTTAGCAGTGAATTCAATGATTCTCGTATTCTTTCCTGGCTGTCTGCAGAGTGCCTTTCCAGGCAGCAGGGGATTTTTCTTCAGTTTTCCTATCTGACCACTCCCATCTGGTGTTTTGGCTGACAGCATGTCACTGCCAACAGGGGACAACCCTTGCACTGTCCCCTGGAGCTCCTTGAGCCATTCGAGTCACTAGTCTGGCAGAACATTAACCCAGAAAAAACACCAAGAGAAACCATTCGGACAATTTTCTGCAGACTCGGAGAGCCGAACTGACCACAGAGGGTCTGATGAGCCGCCAGAGCTGGGCATTAGGAGTGGGGCAAGTAGGAGTGGAGGAGGACGCAGAAGTGAGACTACCGTGTATGAGCAGCAGTGAGTCCTTAGATCAGGCCAGCTGCTGTGAAACCACAGCCTAAAATTCCCCTCTCAACTTACATTTTCAGTGTTTTTAATTGATATAATTTTAAATCCAATCAGTATCTCTGTGGGTTTTATGTCTGTGCAGATCTTGGTATTGTTCATGTTTGTCTTCACCAACTTCTGTGCTTTCCTAAAGATTCAAGGACACAAACCCCAAGGCAGAGGCCGTGGTAGGATTTTTACAAGGCCGGGACTGCTTTCAGACTGTCAGTGTCTTCACTGGTCAGCAAGGCAAACCCCAAACATGGTGCCATAGGATGTGGTTTTCTGCAAGGGGCTAGGAGGGGAATTTTCCTGTACCGTGGCATGAAGACAGAACAGATCCGTTGGCCAAAATAAAAAACAGCAAAAGCTCTTGCACAGGTGGACTTCATCCTGACACAGGAGGGGACAACACACCAGGTGAGACCCACCTCCAGATGTGATCAGCTTCTGGACATCTAGGATCCATCAGGCTATGAGACTCCTCCAACTTCATGCTCTGAATAGTGCTGTCCGTTCACTGGGTTAAATTCTGCCTATCCAGAAATACACATGCACCTTCCCTCTTCCCTGAAACTGAACAAAGCTCTCTTTGCTACCGTGGAGATGTAATCAGAGCCCCAGAGTGGCTGAGATGTAAATCTGAAAGGTAGGATACAACATGGTGTCCCCAGCCCACAAACAGATGTGGTCTGCAACCACAGGAGTGAAGAAAAGGGAAACAGGTTGAGGTCATCTCGGTGTGGCACACAGTGGGACGTTGGCGCATGGGGCTCTCCAGCTCTTCCTTCACAGAGCAGCCAGAGCTGGAGGTTTTCCCCACACTCCTGGTCCCAGTGCAGAAGGGTGTTCACAGGTATCCTCAGGGCTCCTGACCAGGGGTGATGGAGCTGCAGCTCTGGTGGTAGGTCTTTCTTCTCTTTTATGTCATAGAATCATAGAATCATAGAATTTCTGATACAGGCCCAGGATGCCATTGGCCTTCTTGGCCGCCTGGGCACACTGCCGTATGTCATGGTTTATGCAAATGTCATGGTTTTAGCCTGGTTTATGCTGGCTGACTTCTGCCATCTCTCTGCTATCTTCCAGCCTGTCCTGCAGCCTTTCCCACATTGCCTAGACTGATCCTCCTTTGAATCCCCCCATTCCCATCCCTCCCGCGGGACCCATTAGTGAATGCATGTTAAAAATAACCAAGACAAAAAATACCAAATGCTGATTGCTGGTCATCTTTTTTGCACAACACCCAACTAGACTGCAGACATTTTAGGGAAGATGTGTGCCTGGGTGCGTTTGCACCGGGCTCGGCTCAGCCAGTCCCTGCCCGTGTGATGTTCCCTGGCCCAAGGCACCGGCAGCGTCCCCTGGACACAGAAATGTCCCCCGGCAGGCAGGAGGTGGCAGCATTGCATAGCCCAGAAGGTCCTGCTCGCCTGCATACCCATGCGTGGTCTATTTACTGGCCAGGAGCTGCAGACCTGCTTTTCCAGCTCCTCCAAGGATACGTGACTCAAGCCAAACGCCTCCAAACTGCTCAAATCCCATCCAGAGCAACATTAAATACAACTAAACCCCAAAGGCCGCTAAGTGTACATCAGTCCTAAGCTGTGAGCAAATCACCATTAACAGCAATGTGAGGGCAACTGAGGACACAGGGGCTCTGCATTTAGAAATGAGTGTGATGTTTGAAGATACCTCATTTGCCCTTGAAACTCCAGCCCCCTTAACTAGTGTGCGATGTATCTGAGCTCCTCCGCACAAGATCCACATTCCCTTTGAGTGACAAGAGTGCGGATATTCTTGCTTGCGCAAATGCTCCTTGACAGAACCGAGGTGGGAATGAGTTGGAGGCTAGCTTGCTCTCAGAGCATCGTTTTCATTCTGGTGCATCTGGCATAGTCCAGGCTGATTTGGAATCCTTCGCATTTTATTTTTATTAGAGATGCGGAGAGACCTGTAGTAAAACCTTGGATCTAAGCTCCCTGAAACACAAGGGGAACTTGGAGCTGATATTTGCAGTTCAGGGCATTGCTGGCTGCCAATCTTCCCTCTCCACTCCTCCTGGTCTCTCACCATGGAGTCATCCTGTAGCTGACTGAGTCCACCACAGGAGGAAACACAGGCAGATCACAGACTTCCCTTGCTGCCTAACAGCCAGATGGACACAAGCCAGGACTTTTTTGCACTTGTGCAGCCAGAAAGTGTTTGTACCACAGTGCCTTTACCAAGCTAGAAAGCAACATGGTGAGTGCAATAAAAGCCTCTATCACCTTGTGGATGCTGTTAAGAGGACTGCTCTACGTTTATATGCACAACTTCCTACCAATATAGCAGTGTCCTAACCTGGACCTCTTACTCCCACTTTTCTCCAAAATAGTTAGCTATTCAAAAAAATCTGTGCATAGACCAGTCTTAAAATCAAACTTTTTATTATTCTCATGGCTTTGGGTGCACCAGGCAAGCTGGAAAGCAGTTTCTTTAAAAAATTTCTTTACTGAAAGAGTGGTTAAACATTGGAACAGGCTGCCCAGGGACGTGGTTGAGTCACCATCCCTGGAAGTATTTAAAAGATGTGTAGATGCGGCACTTAGGGACATGGTTTAGTGGACATGGTAGTGTTGGGTTGATGATTGGACTCGATGATCTTAAGAGGTCTTTTCCAACCTTAATGATTCTATGATTCTATTCTATGATTCTCTGACTGCCCCCCTTAAAAGCAGACACCCTGAGTAGGCTTTCCTTCTACATACATGAGCTACATTACTGTAGGAGCTTTCTTTCTCCTGCAGACTGAATCATTTCCCAAATGTAGGCTTGCACAGCAGAA